AGAGTTCTTCGAATCCTGAGTTAAATTGTTTTACATTGTACAGGTGTTTATTCATCAAAGTTTACAATCAGGAACAAGTGCAGCAATCCAGTTTGGCCGGTGATTCTCTCTGGTGCCGTTACACCACATTTGTCCACCACAGGTTTTCCTCTCCCCCCAGGGGAATCCATATCCCTTTCTGTCTCAACATCCTGGTCAGCCAGTTTATGGGGACGCACTCTCTGCACCCAAGATTCCTCCGGTAAATTCTCTTGTCTCACTGGAGATTTTGCCTCTTCCACTATGGCACCATCCCGTGGTGCCCCTGTTCCTCCTGCCACCCTGGCCAAATTCACACTTAACGGTGCAGGAGGGCTTGATTTGTACGAGGTCAGTCTTGTGAGCGGCTATAATCTGCCAATGATGGGGGCCTCACACGGCGGGACCGGAGGGAACTGCTCGTCCACCGGAAGCGCCGCTGACTTGAACGAGGATTGCCCGGTGGAGCTTAGGATTATTGATGAGAGTAATGAAGGGGTGGTGGTCGTGGCGTGCAAGAGCGCTTATGATGGGTTCGGAGACGCCCAGTACTGCTGCAATGCATATGACGATGGGAGCAGCACATTCACCAGCACCGGCGCAGATTATGTCATTACTTTCTGTCCTGATCTTTCAACTGGGTAATTAAATTTTTATCCAAATAGCCAATTCAATTCCTTTTTCATGTTCTTAATCATTAGCCAATCAATTCAACAGGAGAAAAGTTTTTCTTAAAAAAATAAAATTATTTGTTTTTTTTCCATAACGATGAGCTATAAAGAGGAATTACCCTATTTTTTTTCTTAAATTTTTTCTTATTTAACTTAAAATTTAAATTTAAAATTTTTAATTTAAAATCTTATGAATATAAAATTGGGCACTCCTCAAAAAAAAAAATTTATGTGATGCCACGAAATTTCAAATCTCTAAATTTATTTTTGAATAAGAAAATAATGATAAATTCATTCCTCACATAAAAGTATAATAAATTGTTTTTTTTAATTATTAATTAAAATAAATTGTTTATTATTTAATATATAATATTATATATTAAATATTAAATAATTTATTTTGATTAATAATTTTAAAAAATAATTTATGATTATTTTTTTGATTAAATCCACAATTTGATCCCTGAACTATTATATAGACTCTCGATTTGATCCCTGAACTAACAAATTCTTAATTTGGTTCCTAAACTATTGTACGGATCTCCGATTTGATCCCTACTATTTACCAATTTGCCCCAAATTGGTCCTTCTATAAAAAAATAACTGATGTGTCTTCTTATTAGTGTGACATGTGGCCATTAAGTTACTGTTTTTTACCGTTAAGTTATTATTTTTCACCATTAAATACTAGACACGTCAGTTTTTTTTGTATGAAAGGATTAATTTGGGGCAAATTGGTAAACAGTAAGGACCAAATTGAGGATCCGTACAATAGTTTAAAAACCAAATCAAAGATTTTTTTAATTTAAGGATCAAATCAAAAGTTTATATAATAGTTTAGGGACCAAATTAAAATTTTAACCATATTTTTTAAGAGCACATCTATTCCTAGCCTATTTGGGGGTAGATTTAAGAGTTTGGCTCACCGAAAACTGCGGTTTCAAAAAATTCTGTTTCTGTACATATACAGAACATTAAATTGTGAATTCTGACTTTCTTTTGGATGTTTTAGATTGAATTTGATAGCAAAGGCAGCGACACCTGTTCTGGAAGATACAACTGCTGAAACAAAGTCCTGCAATACTTCACCTGCAACTGCTACTAGTGACGTTGTTAATGTCCTTCCTCATTACCCCAGGAGGTTGCTGGTTAAGCCACCGAATGTTAACTTCTATGCTCCATCGTCAACCTCAAATGAGAACAGCTGGAATTTGGAAAAGGAAGACCCGTCAAGGCCTCTTGCGCCAATTGGCAGGCCACCCGTCCATGATTCTGTGCCAATAGGCAAGTCGAATGAGGACGACCCACCAAGCCCTTCTATGCCAATTGGCAAGCCGGATAAGGAAGACCCGCCAAGGCCTCCTGCACCAATGAGCAGGCCACCTATCCATGATTCTGTGCCAATAGGCAAGTCAAATGAGGAAGACCCACCAAGCCCTCCTGTACCAATTGGCAAGTCAGACAAGGAAGACCCACCGAAGCCTCCTGCACCAATTGGTAGGCCACCCGTCCATGATTCTGCACCAATTGACAAGTCAGACAAGGAAGACCCGCCGAGGCCTCCTGCACCAATTGGCAAGCCACCCCGTCCATGAATAAGGTCTTTTCTTTCTTTTTTTTTTCATCATCCATGACTAGGGTCTAGTGCACCAGTTTGAAGGAATGAGTAAAGTTTGTACGGTTCTTTTTTTTTTTTCATCATCCATGACTAGGGTCTAGTGCACCAGTTTGAAGGAATGAGTAAAGTTTGTACGGCATGATAAAAAAATATAAATGTATTTTGAAAAAAATTAAAGAAAATCAAAACCTTTAGTAATTAAAATATTAGTATTTCTGCTGAATTTCCACTTTATATGTGATTTATTAAAATATTAGTATTTCTGCTGAATTTCATAATTATTTATTTTCTCAAGAGCATTCAAAGTTCAGCATGCAGAAAGCATGATATGGTAAATCATAATATAACAATAAATTCAGCTTAGCCTGATTAGCGAGGAAATCAACATGTAGCCCTCAATATAATGGATATTGATATCATTCTGACTTTTCAGTAAAAAATTATATACCGTGCAAAGAGAAAGTGGCACAGTGAGTTGGTCTAAATTAACGCAATACATGCAATAGCTACTGCTACAAAACTGCCAGAGCAAGTTATTACCATACCAATATCAACTTCCTCCCTTTCTATTCTCTTCTGCCTTTCAAAGCAATGCCAAAATGCACCCCACTCCCCCCTTCATCTAGTTGCTCCAGCAGCAGCGTGCTTCTCAATCTCACCTTGTTCTTCTTTAGCAAATTCTTCGATTAATTCACGTTGTCTAAGAGTCAGGTTCCTGTACACAAGAATATTCAACATTAAGAAAATTGGTTTTCACCCTTATGGGTATAAAACTAGTAACATATGCACCCAATAAGTCAAATGATGTAAAATAATACTCCATTTTACCATTTGAAGGAAGCTCATCAGATTAATGATCTCAGAGCACATGAGAACCATAATAATAGAAAATATAGACCCTTTAGAATACTTACGTTGGAATGCTGACATTGAAGTGCACATACTGATCTCCAAATGAGTAAGAATTTCTTGATTTAATCCCTGCCAGAAAACACAGCACATGATTCTGTGTTGGTAAACTAAAGATATATGCTTTCTCCAAAGAAAATAAACTAATATAAAACACTTCCTAACAAGCATACGGATATAAAAACAAGGAGAAAAAGAAGGAGAAGGAAATGTTTTGAGTTGAGTTTTGTAGGGCCAAAAACATTCCCACCATCTCGACCGATTGCATTACGGTAGCGGATCAAAGCTGTAATTCAAACTTCTATCTATTGATTATCTGTTCATTCTTCTGTATAAAACTTACCTGGCAGCACTTATTATTGGTGCTGCTTGGCATGCTTGTTATTGGGAATAAGAATTTACATTTTACCCCAAAAAAGGGAAATTTTGACTTACCTTCCAGGGAGATTGGACTGAACTCAAGTCACCAAACCAGGGATACCTAAAGAGAAGGTTCATGACCATTTCAATACAATCCACAAAGCTCAGAAAAACCATATAAAGTGCCCATCAAAA